AATATTTTTGATACCTATATTGGTTGTTGAGAATTTAATTTTTAAGCTGCAAAATCTACCTCGCAAAACTTTTGACGAAACCTAATACATAATTAATGATTATGTTATAATTAATATTGTTTATATTAAAAATAAAAACTTAAAGTGATTTAAGAACATTTTTAGCTAATACTGTTTTCACAAATAATTTTAAATCTAGTTTACATTAAGTACAGTACATATTATAACTTATAAATAACAATTTGTTATGAAATGCCCTTGATGCTCAATTTGATAAGATTTAAACCTAATATCACCTGAATGCACTTAATAGTGCAAATTGAATACATATTTTATTAATATATTTTAAATTAAATTATTAGTAAATTGACTAGTGTATATAAATTATAGCAATATAATTATAAAGGTACAATTTTATTCAAATTAAGTCATTAACAAGTTAATTGTTTCTTAATAAATTCTGATAATTCATTATAAATGTGACTTTCTCTGTTAATAAGTTGCTAAAAATTAAATGATTATTACATCACTTAATACATTTAGTATAGATTTTAAGTATACCCTGCATATAATGACAATATTTTAACTTTCAAAAAGTTTCAAAAAAAATTTATTTAAATTATTATTTAAATGTAAACCTCTTTCTAAAAGTAAAGTAATATATAAAATGAACTAACCTTTTAACCAAGCTTCAAATAATTAATATTAAATGATTTCTAACTTGTTTTGATTGTACACAAAGTGCACTAAAAGTTATAACGAGACCGGTATCTCAATATAACATACCAGTCCGTTGATACTGGAGGTACTCATTCATAAGTCCATTAATAAGCATAATCAATTTGCACTCGTATTAACAAATTGCAAATTGCACACATGATTGGCCAGCAAGGACATTTTCAGTACGATATTACGTCTACCTTATAAAAGACCTTAAAGTTTGGTGCATTCACTACAAACATACAGTATATCCTCCCATAGAGTTACTATGGGATTATAAATGTGTTTTTTGATAAAATCTAATAACTTTCAAAAAAATAATTTTAGACTGATTAATATTTATTATGAGTAATTTATCTTTATTGTGTAAAATAATTTAAAAATTTAAAATTGTTATAAATATAATATCGCCTTTACAGCTAGTACCATAAATATTGTATAAACAAAAACCTCTACATTTTTTGTCACTCGGAATAGCTATTTACAGTTTGTGCAGAATGTTATATATAAAGTGAAAAAGGAAATCCATATAAGTTAGTGTGTCAAGCATAATTTAATTGAAACTATTATTCACCATTTTTGTGTAACCCAGTAATTAATAATATTTATTTGGTGTTATAAATATTTAAATATACATTTATTTGACTACAGTTTAAAAGTTTTATATTAATCTAAAAGTTTTTAAAACATTTTCATTAAAACTATATAATATTACAACACAATGACCAGAGCCCTGAAAATCCTGTTCATGCCCGTGGACGCCATTGGACACGTAAATTCGGCCATTGGCATAGCCCAGGTACTTTTAGATGCCGGGCACCAGTGTATATTCGCCATCAATAACCAATGGAAAGGTAGACTAATTAAGTACGGCTTCCAAGAGGTACTACTGACTCAACCGGGACGTCAGGAAAATGTCGACCCTGCTAAGTACTGGTCCGAGTTATTCGTGAATGTAGGCGGTATTAAAGCTACCGATCCCTTGGAAACCCAAATAAATTTAGCGAAAAATTTATATCCCGTTATCATTGAGCAAATAAAGACCATGGATCCGGTGATTGAGAAACTACTGGTGCATATAGCACCCGATGTTATTGTCGTGGATCACGCCTTTGAGGTCCCTGCGGTAGCAAGGTCTGGTATACCCTGGGTGTGGACCTGTAGTTTTAATCCATTGATGGCCGGGTATGATGAACGGGTCCCACCGCCTGGATTAGGTAAATATAAATTTAGTTATTTTAAATAGTATTACATGGTGTCAAAATTAAAATAGCAATTTACTAATATAAAACTTAGTTTTAGCCTAATAATTCTATAATTAAAATTTTAGTTATAGTGTCGAATATGTTTGTCCCAAAATTTTGTAAATTAAATAAAAGTATATAATTACATAAGCTTATTGAAATTGATTTGGTTAATATTTAAATTAAATTATTTATTCTAAAGTTTAAACTAGAATATTAAATATTTAGCCACAAAAAGTAAGTTGTTAAAAGTACTAAATAATTTAATTCAATAAAATTAATTAAAATTATTATAAAATAAAAGATAACAGATTAATGAGAGTCAACTAATTAAAATGTTTAAAACAACATTATAATAATCATATGTGTAGTGATAAAATTACAGTTTATGATTAATTATTTTAAAAATTATAAATTAAATTTAATATTTTCATATAAGTTGTATCATATTTATATTAAATATTTATATATTTTTCTATAGGATTGCCATCCATTGGCCTCAACGGTCACCAAAACGAGTGGAATCGGTGTCGACAGGCGCTCAACCTAGCCGTCCGGGACCACTGGTCAGCCTATAATAAATGGGTTCAATCACGTGGTCTACCAGCACTACATGATTACCAATTCTACCACGGCTCACCCTATCTCAATATATACGGCTATCCACTGGAGTTGGATTACCTGGATATGAGATCAATGCCCCCGAAATGGCATCGATTTGACAATCTTAAGCGCACGGAACGGGAGGGTAGCTTCGAGATACCGGTGCCGTTGAAAAATAAAGCCGGAAAACTCGTATACTTTTCCATGGGATCCATGGGTGGGGCCGATGTGGACAACATGAATAGGCTGTTGGCTATATTGGGTAGGACTCGGCACCGGTATATCGTGTCTATGGGTCCCAAACACGAGAGTATCAAACTGTATGAAAATATGTGGGGCGCGGCTACTGTTCCCCAAATACAAGTCCTACCTGTAGTTGATTTGGTTGTAACCCATGGAGGGAACAACTCTATCACCGAAACCATGTATTTCGGGAAACCTATGATAGTCTTACCCCTGTTTGGCGATCAATACGATAACGCACAGAGGGTTCAGGAAAGGGGGTATGGCCTGAAACTGGATGCCTATAACTGTGATGAATACCAATTGTTTAACGCGATTGAAGGCCTACTAAATGATAGGGAAATGAATGATAGGTTACAAAAGATATCGAAACGTATACAACAGGATAATAGTATCGCAATGTTGCCGAAACTTATCCAGGATATTGTCAATAGTAAAACGGTTATTGATTTGAATAATAATTCAGAGGATTAAATGTTTTATGACATAATTTGTTGAGCATGGTACCATTTTAAATAGTTTTGACATTATCATTATTCCTATGTTTATGAATTTATTTTATAAATATATAAAATATAAATTATATTTTATAAAATAATATACAATTATATTTACATATTTGTAATTCTTATTAACTATATTATATAAATACATAATAATGTAAAGATTTTTAATTTTAATTTATTTTTATTTTATAAATTGTTATACAACACTTATTCAAACCATCACTTTCAAGTTAGATAGTAATTTGTTAATACATAATTTAATATTATAGTAATGTAAATAATTTTAAAAATTTGTAAAATTTATTTTTATAACAATATAATAAATATATTGTAATTTTTACAAATATAATGATTAACATCAATATAATCAGGGTTGACAAGTAACTCACCATTAATTTTCGTGTTTTATTTAATAAATTAACAATAATATTATTAGGGTATCTGTTATTTTATTAAACTAAATTATGTTTATTTTAATTTGAAAACTGTAATTATTGTCCCAAAATTTTTAAAAATAATCTTAAAATATATTAAACACATTTTATTGGCGTGGACACGATGCGGGTTTTAAATTATATTGTATTTTATATATCTTTTAATTTAATAAATTGTATTTATTTTATAAATTTTTATTTACACAATGTTACATTATTTAAAAATAGTACAAAAGTTCAATAAACATAATCGTTAAATTAATTTATAAAAATATTTGCAAAACTACAATGTTCAATTAATAAGTAATATATTCTATTGTATAATATTTGTATTACATTTAATCATATTTTACGTTTTATATTTATAGTTAATAATGCCTTCACAAGAGTTTTTGAGATTTTTACCAAGGGGAAAATATATCGTGCCACTTATGATTAAAACACAGAAACCTGATGTGATTTATTATGTGATCTACTAAATAAAAATTAAAAATTTTAAATTATAAAAAGTGTTAATTAATTTTGTGATTATTTGTAATAATTATTTCTAATAGAAATTATTTTTCAATAAACTTACAATAGTGTTACCGTTTATTTTAACAGTAAGTAGGATTTGTGTCTATAAAAATACTGTAAGTAAATAGGTTTAAGCTTTGTTAATTTTAAATAATCTAGTAACATAATAAAATAATTTAATTAATATCAATAAATATTTAATTTAATAAATAAATTGATAGGTTTGTCAGCCTTAGCCGATTCCGAGGAATGGGATAATTTTCGGGACATCAAGAATGGGATTATAGATCACATACAATGGATCCAATACAATGAATACATGGTCTCGAGAGGCTGTCCACTATTTCATGAAAATAAACAAATTATTGAGGACTTCATTCAATTCAAAAGCAATTACATTATAAATTAATATACTGTATAACAAACTGTTACTTTTACTAATTTGACAGAAATATTACTAGTTTTCATAATAATATTATGATATTATTAATATTATTTGGAACTAATAAAATTGATCTATTATTATATTTTAATACTCAATATAAAATTGTATAAAATATAAAAGGCTATAATTTATAAATAACACACAATGTGGAGTTTGTTGTGCAAATATTTGATACATCTAATTCAAGTACTTATCATACGACCTCGATATAAAACAGCATAAATATAATTTTGCTAAAATAAACAAACTTCTATTCAAATATAATATAGTCGTATAAATACTTGCGATAAGTAATTATCCTATTAAATAAAGTTAACATAATAGTTTTTAAAATAAAATTTTATATTAATGTGCAAAACACTGGACATCCTATTCATACCAATTCCCGGCACCGGACATGTGAACGCCTGCATAGGCTTAGGGGAGGTACTCATCCAAGCGGGACATACCGTCTCTTTTGTCATCAATTATCTATGGGAGGGTCGGCTCACAAAGTATGGCATCAAAGAGCTATTACTGACAGATGAGGACCCAACTAAAGACCCTGGTGTTAATAAGCTTGACTTGTTACTTAAACATGGATATATTGGCGTAGATATGACACCGTTGGAAAGGGTGAAAAAATTTGGTAATGGGTTCATAAAAAGGCTCGAGATGTTTACCAAGTTGGAAAATGACATTTCTAAATTGTTGGTCTCTATACCTAAACCCGATGTAATTGTGATAGATCATTTTGCTACCATACCATGTGTCGAGTTGTCGAGTATACCCATTGTACGCGTGAAAAGTTCAAACCCTTTAAATTTGCTGGATGATGATAGGGCACCACCTGGAGGATCTGGTAAAGTTTAAATGTTTTAAATAGAATATTTAAAATTTAATTATAAATTAATTCAACTTTTATTTAAATAAATTTAATAGTTTATAAGTCAACAATAATGTGCTAGTATGCAATAGGTTTAATTAATAAATAAATTTCAATTAATAATAACTAAAAATGTTTAATGCAAACAATTAAAATAAGCTAGGGTTTATTTAATTTAAGTTATGATAATTTAATTTTGTATAATAATTTCAATAACAAAATGTTTGTCTTTTAATAGGTTTATCGTCTTTGGCTGATCCGAGCGAATGGAAACACTATAGAGATGTCAGAAAACAATATTTAGATACCGAGCCGTGGATTAAATACAATGAATTCATGGTTTTAAAAGGCTGTCCACCGCTTCAGGAAAATAAATTCATGTATACCCATAAATATCTCAATATCTATGGCTATCCCCTTGAGTTGGATTACTTAGACCTGCGACCCATACCCAGGAATGTCATCCGATTTGATAATCTGAAGCGTACTGAAGAGGACTTATCGTTTGAGATACCGGTGCCGTTGAGGGACAGACCAGGAAAATTAGTGTACTTTTCAATGGGATCTATGGGTGGAGTGGACGTGAAAAACATGAAGCGATTGATTGATATTTTGTCGAAATCTAAGCACAGATTCATTGTATCGAAAGGACCCAAACATACGGAGTATGAACTACCGGATAACATGTGGGGTCAACAGTCTGTCCCTCAGCTCCATGTCCTACCGTTAGTTGATTTGGTTGTAACCCATGGAGGGAACAACACTATCACCGAAACCTTTTACTTCGGGAAACCTATGATAGTCTTACCTCTATTTGCTGATCAATTAGATAACGCACAGAGAGTTGAGGACAAGGGGTTTGGGAAACGACTCAATGCTTACAAATGCAGTGAAACTGAATTATTGACAGCAATTGAAAGTCTATTAAATAATAATGAAATGAATGAAAACCTGCGGAAAATATCTTCGAGAATACAATCGGATAATAGTATCGCAAAACTGCCGCAAATTATTGAAGACTTTGTTGAACACAGAGATAACTACATTAAATAAATAATTTTCGTTTAAATAGCTAGTTTAATTTTTAAAATTAAATTGTAGCAATAATTAAAAAGTATTGATAACATAAATAACTTCTTTTGATTGAAATTATAAAAATGATATAACTAACCTGCAATACACAATTTGTATTTATCGTATAATTAATTGACCTTGGCATAATCAACTGACTCTAACCCTGAATTATTCAATGTCATAAAAATGTCTCTTGAGACATAATGTTGATAAAAAAATGTGTAACTATTAAAGTAAAATTAAAAACTAAAATTTTGCCGATTGCAGCTATTTACTTAAATTTTTTAAAAATTTTAGTGCTAATGTAATTTGAAATAGTAGTAAAACTATTATATATTATTTATTTTTTAAATCAATAATTAAACATTTAAAGTTATATAAACTAATGCCGAAATCACTGAACATCCTATTCATACCGATCGACGGCATGGGACACGTTAACGCCTGCATAGGCTTAGCGGAGGTACTCATCCAAGCGGGACATACCGTCTCCTTTGCCACCAATGATCAATGGGAGGGTCGGCTCACAAAGTATGGCATCAAAGAGCTATTATTCACAGACCCGGATCGCCCCAAAAATATAGACCCGGAGGCACATTTTGGTGAGATGCTAATTAAGCGGGGTACTATTGGCACCGATTTGACACCATTGGAAAAGCTTAGAAAAAACAAGGGAGCTGGGTCGTTTAGAAACACCGAGATGTTCATCCAGGCCGATAAAGATATAGCTGAATTGTTGGCTACTATACCCAAACCCGATGTAATTGTGATGGATCATTTTGGTGCCATACCATGTGTGGAGCTATCGGGTATACCCATTGTTTGGGTGTGTAGTGTCAATCCACTATTTTTGAGTGATGATAATAGGTTGCCACCTAGTACATCTGGTAAGACTTTTAACATTTAAAAAGTATAATTTTTAATGACTAAAATAAGTTGTTTCCCATTAATAATTTTAAAATATTGTTCATACTAATATTATAAAACTTTAATATATTAATATAAATATTATTTAATTGATGTAGCTAATTTAGATTTAATACAAAACATTATACAAAAAACATATAAAATTAAATAATACTATTGTTTTGGCAAAAGGTTTGTCGGCTTATGCGGATCGTTGTGAGTGGAAAGCCTACAGGGATGCTAAACAAGACGCTACTGATCCCGAGATTTGGATTAAATACAATGAGTATATGATTTCAAAAGGTTGTCCACCACTTCACGAAAATAAATTTTACTATCATCATAAATACCTGTTTATATACGGCTATCCACTTGAGTTAGACTACTTAGACATGAGACCACTGCCCAGAAATGTCATACGATTTGATAATCTAAAGCGAACTGAAAAGCATTTAACGTTTGAGATACCAGTGCAGTTGAGGGACAGACCGGGAAAACTTATATACTTTTCAATGGGATCTATGGGTGGAGTGGATGTGAAAAACATGAAGCGATTGATTGATATTATGTCAAAATCTAAGCACAGATTCATTGTATCGAAAGGACCCAAACATTCGGAGTATGAGTTGCCGGACAACATGTGGGGCGCGGCTACTGTTCCCCAAATACAAGTCCTACCATTAGTTGATTTAGTTATCACCCATGGAGGGAACAACACCATTACTGAAACCTTTTATTTCGGAAAACCTATGATAGTCTTACCCCTATTTGCTGATCAATACGATAACGCACAGAGAGTGGAGGACAAGGAGTTTGGGAAACGACTCAATGCTTACAAATGCAGTGAATCTGAGTTATTGACAGCAATTGAAAGTCTATTAAATAATAATGAATTGAATGCAAAACTGCGAAAAATATCGTCGAGAATACAATCGGATAATAGTATCGCAAAACTGCCGCAAATTATTGAAGACTTCATTCAACACAAAGAAAATTATATTGATTAATAATTAGACAAAATTATATTTACTACAATATAATTGTAATATTTTGATAATATTTTATTTGTTTCTAATTTAAATTATATCTTATTTGCAAAGTACTTAGACCCCCATCAGTTATATATAATGAATTAGGGCATAATAAAGTTAACATAACAATGAAACAAATAATAATAGACTCGAAATGTTTACTTTATAACTTAAAATAAAATTTATTTAAAAAAAGCTTATTTACATAAATATTTTCATTCAAGTTTTACTTATATTTTACAAACTAAATAGAAATAATATAATTACAGTTTATGAAGTTTTATGCAAAATAATTTTTAAATTTATTATTTTATGGAACCCATATTGCCACCTATGATTGTATTATTTAGTTAAATCATATGATAATTATATTAATTAATTTTAATTTTAATAAAACATAAACATTCTTACCAATATCAATTTATTAATAAAAGTTTTAATACGTAAATTGATTAATAAAAATGGATAAACTTAATATTCAAAAAGTAACGTAATGAATATAATTGTGGCTATAATATAATGAGCACATGATTTTGTATAAACTGTGTCTTAATACTTTTAATCTAATCAATGTATATATACAACTTTGCTGTAAAATAATTGTTGAGATTAACCATGCTCACATTTCATCTTGTCATGTAAGTAAAGCAATTAAATCATGTTGATTTTGCTAAATTTTGATTAATTATAAAGGTTTTTGTGATAAACATAATATTTTATTGAATATTATATTTCTAAATTTATTAAATAAGTCAATTTTCATATGCTTAATGAATATATGAGCGTTAAATTAATTATAACTAGTTTTTATTACGGGAATTAAAATTGAATAATTAATTTTGTATTAAATAAAAATAAGTTAATATGTAATATAATATAATAGTTATGCTAAAATTGAAATTAATTTTAAAACATACAATTTAGGGTTACTTAAATATAATCATAATAATTATATTAAAAAAATTTTGATATAAAACTTATGAAATTCTTAACATTCATATAACGGATTGAAAATCTAAGGGGAGTGCAGCATAAAAAGTGAATGTCATACAAGTTGTACAGAATATTCTGTATCCATTTATATAATGATTAAATAATTGAGTGTTGTTAAAATTTTATATGTATTAAATCTAATTTATAATAGAAAAATTCAAAACCATTAATTGAAAATGTACAAAAAATAATTAGTACAAAATTAATTGAATACTTGTATAATAAAATTGAAATAATGTATGATACGAGTATAATTATTATGAATTATAATAAAATTGATTATAAAATTAATGTGATATTTAGCAAAATCAACTTGATTTTATTGCTTTACTTGCATTACAAGATGGAATGTGAGCATGGTTAATATGAACAATATATTTTAGCATATAAGTTATATATATACCTATTCAATGTGTTTATTGTATAAAAATACTGCTTTCAGGGCGAATAAAGTAAATTAATTTAATTATTGTTCATAGATCACATATATCATAATTCCTAAATCATTTATAACAGATTTATAAATAATATTATGTGTTAATTAATTTATTTAATTTATTTAATCTTTCCAAAAATACATTTTATTATTATTAATAATTAACAAATTATTGGATATTTTGATAAATAATTTTTTTTATATCGATTGATAGCGATAGGGGTTTCATTAAGTCTAATAAGTTTATTAGTTTAGAAAAGTTTTCATATAAAAAGTTCTAGTTTGTGTTTTAACAATTAGTTTTATATTTACATTTTATATTGTAAATTATGTAATATAGTAAATCATTAGCCTAATGTAATAGCTAATCAGCTATAAGTAAATATAATTAAGCGAACATTTTTATACATTCAGGTATGATCTTGTATCTATAATTGGATAATAGTCAAACTATCAAAAATTATTGAGGACTTTATTAAACACAAAGAGAAATACATTGAATACAAATAATAATCATAAAATAATGTCATTCTACTCTATTAATTGGCCATGTCCATTTAGCCCCCAAAATTACTGCCCCCAAAATTACGCCCCC